ATATTCGCTTGCGCATGCTCGGGCTGGCTGTCGAATCCGCCCTCGCGCAGAGCCGCCCAAGCGACGCGCGGCAGATCTGCGAGGTTTTCGCGACTACGCGGGGAAGCTTGCCACTCTGCCACAGGGCGAGTTGGATGGCCCGAGGGCGCTGATCGCGCCCCCAGCGTCGACGGAGGCGGCCGCCAGGTGCAAGAGTGCAGAGGCCGCGCGCGCGGCGCGCGGCCACTTCATCGCGGGGCGGCGCACTACAACGCGGGCGTTCGTCGTTTTCCTGGCCGACGCCCGCCCGCAGCCACGGCGGCGCTCAAGCCGTTCGTGATGCGCCTGTGGACGATGGGTCGGGGCATCGCCCCTGACCTTCCAGAGAAGGCCGACCGCGTCATTCAGACGGCGCTGGCGGCGGGCGCGGCCGCGCGGCCAGTTCGAGGGAGCTTTTCGTGGCGACGGGCCCCATGCATGTGCGACCATAGCTGCATCCCGTGATTTGCGGGGCCCGATCCAGCGCGCCCCAACGACCTCACAAACAGCGAGGCTCTTACCCGCGAGTTCCGTCGAGCCGCGCGGAAGTTCCACCCAGAGAAGGACGGACTTGTTCTTACTGCCGAACTTACCACGACGGCAGTGCCGCCGCCTGCCATCGGCGCAGAGGCGACGCCGCAACCTTCATAGCCGCCGCGAAGTCGCTCCTGGAGGTCGACTCCAACAGCACTTCCAGCGGCCGCGGAGGCGGCGGCCTTGCCCGCTGGGCGCAGGGCGCGCAGAGCGCGCGCAACGCGCGAATATCATCGGCAAGGGCGCTCCCGTCGCGGTGGGGCACGGCGATTTCGGTGAGAGGGAAGGGAGGGAGGGGCAGGGGAAGGGGTGGGGGGGGGGGATGAGGGGGGGGGAGGGGAGAGGAGGGATGAGAGGAGGAAGGGGGAGGGAGGGAATGAGGAGGGAATAGGGTAGGGGGAGGGGGGAGGAGGAATGGGCAAGGTTGATGAGGGAGAGGAGGGGGGGGGGGAGGGAGGGGGGTGGGGGAGGAGGAAGAAGGGGGGGGGGGGGGGGGGCGGGGGTGATTTTGAGGGGGACGGGGGCGGGGAGGCTGATTTTGATGGGGAAGGGGGGGGGGGGGGGGGTGGTGAAGGGGGGGGGGGCGCCCGTCGCCGCGCGCGCTTCTCTTTTGCGACGAAGAAGATGGCAGCAAGTTCCGTGCGACAGCAGGGCAAGCGTCGGGGCGCGGTGGCCATGCCGTTGGCGCCCCAAGCTTACGTGGGACGGCGTCTCCGTGGAAGTCGGGGACGTCCCCGACCACGGCGTCGCCGTCGACATTCTGGGCGCCCTGCAACCACGAGGGTTGCGGCACAGGAACGGCCGAATATCGCTGGGTGCGGCGGCCGCACATCGGCAGAAGTACTTGGCCGCGCACGAGGCGGCCGTTCGGCACGCGTGCGTTGCGAGAGCCGACGAGCTTCTTTTGGGTGCCGCCTCGCAGTGTTGCACGGGCGATTTTTCTTCATTTTCGGGCCAATCGCGCTCGGCAGCCAGGTGCCGCCACGGCCGTGCATACGGCCGCCGTTCTGTCCGCGGGTGGGCCAAACCTACTGGAACGCGGCAGAATGCGATCCCCGCTGGACAAGAGTGGGAGTTCGTCGGGCAGTGGGGCTGGTCCGCGGTGGACCGCGCAGCTGCAGTTGCGCCCAGGGAAGAGACGCCGTGTGCCACCGCCGTGTTCTTGCCGTTGCAGCCCCTCCCCCTCCCCATCAAAATCAACCTCCCCCTCCCCCTCCTTCAAAATCCCACCTCCCTTCCCCTCCCCCCCCCCTCCCGAACGCGAAGCGACGGGCCAAAGAAGCGTTGCTCGGCGGATCGGCAGATTGGTTGCGCCCGCTTTCAGATTCTGCATACGTCGGTGCATGGTGCGCACGCCGCCTGCGCCCACAACCGACCCGAGGCGTTTCGCCGAATCGTGGCGGCGGGCGCATGCGACCACTTCCGTGAGGGCGCCGACTGGGCCCTCCTCCTCCTCCTCCTCCTCTCTGCGGGGAGGAGGCCGATCTCTGCCGCGTGGACGCCGACGCCCCCTTTCCCGTTTTCCGCGGATGTTCATGCGCAGTGTGCATTGTTCAGAATGCCAGCGTGCGCGCAGCGCACGAGGCCAAAGTGTCTGAGGCCGTCGCTGCGGGGCATCTACAACGCGGACAACTCGTGGTTCACGCCTCACAGCGTCGCGCTAGGACTGGCCATGGCTACAGGCCAGATGCATGGATGCACTATCCAGGAGGAGCCGATCGCCCTCGATACGCACCCGAAGCCGCAGCCAGCCGACGACGCCGATACTTTTCTGTCAGAAGCTCAAGCCTTCCAGCCGCCGACGCCAAACTTTTCGTCGCCGCCATGGCCCCCCCCCGCGGGCCCCGTCGCGAGTTCTTTCAGCCCTTTCGAGCGGCTTGTGCCGAGTGGTCGCCGAGCGCGCATGCCAAGGCTTCCGCGGGGGGCGAGGCGGCCAAGGCGCGGGCGACTGCGGCCAAGGCGCGGACGAATGCGGCCAAGGCGCGGGCGAGCTCGACGACCTTCGGCATCCACGCTCGCGGCGTGAGAAGGAAGCGTTTGAGATACTTACGAAGTATAGTACTCCTTCTTGGGAAAGGCCACCTGCGCGGCGGCCCTCGGTCTGGCCCTAGGGGGGTGGGGGGGGGGGCTATCCAACGCCAATGCGCGGGTGCGCCGCCGAGGGCGCAAGGCGGCCGCGGCTGTTGGCGCCCATCCGCGCCGTGGCGGTCACCCCATAACGTCTCAGCGGGGAGGGCCGCGCGCGCGGGGGCGCCGCGCGGCGCTGCGCCGCTTTCACGATGCGGGCCGCTGGCCGTCGCCGTCGCCGCCGCGATCGCTTGTGGCGGCAATGCTTGGGGCAAGTGCGGCGCCCCCGCAGCGGTCGACGACCGCTCGTGCACTCAAATCGACGCGGGAGCTTCCGTGCCGAAGCGCGCCCGTCAGGGGGGATGGTCTACGCCGACGCCCTGCGCCGCCGCCGATGTTCGCCGCCCGCGCAAATGCGACGGCGCAAGACAGATCGGCCATTGCTTCATTATTCCGCGCCCTCCTCCCCCTCCCCCCTCCATATTGCCCCCTCCACTCCCTTTTCCCCACCCGCCCTCCTCCTCGCCGCCCCCCCCCCGTCCTGCTTCATCAAGGACTCGGGTTCTCCCATTGATTGCGCTCGTGCGCGCGCGCTCACGCCTTGTTTTTTCAGTTTGCCTGAAATGCATATTTCTCAGTATCGTGTAAGCCCTCACATCTCTTACATGCACTGCGGCTTGGGGTGGCAATGCAAGTCGTCGCGTTCCTCGCGTGCGTTCGCGGGCGCGACTGTCAGTCTCTCTCCCTTCTCTCATTCGGCGCCGCGAGCGGATTTCCCGCGGGCGGCGACGGGCCTGGAGCGCCCGCCGCGGGCGCCTGCGGGGTCGCGCTTCTGGGGGCGAGGGCTTCAATCACATTGGTTGCGCCGATCAGACTGCGCCGCATAGATTGCCCAGCATATATTGCACCGCATAGCTTGCCCCACATAGACTGCACCACATGGAGTGCATCGCATAGATGGCACCGCGCCGATTCCACCACATAGGCTGCACCACATGGGCTTCATCACATAGATTGCATTCCATAGCTTGCACCACAGATGTTGCACGATTTATGCTGCATCGCATTTGCTGCGCCACCTCGGGTGCACCACGCCGTTTGCACCACGTCGCTTGCACCACAAAGGATGCACCGCATGGCTTGCACCACGTTGGCGGCTTAACCAAGCTGTTTGGGCTCCGCGCTGGCTGAATCTTTCGGAATTCTCCGATGCGCGAGAATTTGTTCAGTTCTACAACTTCCACATTCTCAGAAATCCCAAAAGCCTCAGATCTTTTGAAGTTCTTGCAATTCCCATGGCTTTGGTTACCCATGAATATCACAATTCGTGATTCGCAGGTATCTGAGCAATTGTGCAATTGTCACAGTTCTCAAATATTTCAGAACTCATTGTTTTGCGCAGCCTTGTTCTTCGCATCCTTTTGTTAATTTTGAATTATTTTTGTTTTTGAAATTTTGATCAGTTTCCAATTTCTCAACCTTTGCAGGATTCCGCTGGTTATCGGGCTTCTTGAAGATTCTGCAATTCTTATAAAGCTCGCTGTTTATATTTAATTGAATTATAACAGAATTCTCATAACTCTCATGATATCAAACTTTTGCAGATTTCTTTTCTGAAGACTAGCTGTGTCCAGACTTTTTTGTATTACTCCCATGTGTCAGAGAGCAAAGAGCCAGTGGAAGTTTTGCGCTTGCCATTATTTTTGTAAGTCTCAGATATCGCACCCTTCAAACAATTCCCATAATTTCAACGGCCACGCATTTCCAAACTGTAGAAGTTAAGGTGTGCAGGGGGTTGTACAGTGAGGTAGGGGTGTAGAGCAATTTCTCCAAAGTAATGTAGACAGCCAATTGTAAAGTACAGTCTTGTAAGTACTACTTACTACGTATCACGTACATACATACGACACGCATACAAATACACACATGCATACAGACATACATACATACGTACATACATACATACAGACACACTACACACTACATGGCACATACGTTTGTAGTACACATGCATTCATACATACATACATACATACACATACACATACACACATCATACGCACTTTCTGTGATTCGAAACATACACTATATATACACGCGTGTGTTGTACGTTCACACACTCATTCCTGCAAGGTTTATGCTCTCCCGTGTCTCTCCGGCTCCCGGAGAGGTTTTGATGCAGTGACCCCTCGTTCTTGCCCTGCCCCCGTCCCCTTCCTTAGCTCTACGCCTTTATTTCTTCCCTTGCCGCAAGCAGTTGCCTCCCCCATCTTTATTTGTGTTCTTGCTTCTCTATTCATGGCCTTGCTTCTCGGTGCTTCTCTGTTCTAAGTTGTAAGGCATGCAAGCTCATCGAGTGGGAAGACGACGGGAGCGCCTTGATGGAGGCCATGGGGGACGTTCCTATCTGCAGGGTCTGCGGGGAGAACGCGGTGAAGCATATGCCTGGAGTCAAATTTGATGACCTCGTGGCTGAGAAGGACAAGGGCGAGGTGGACGCAGAGAGCTTGGTGACCAACCTGCACGCCGAGGACGCCGACAAGCAGGAGATGCCTACCGTCTCCGTCGGCGACGCCATGCGGGTTGACCAGGAGATGTACATGAAGTACTCGGGCTTGACCTTCGCGGAGGTGGTCAAGGAGTTCGGTCAGACTCCCAAGATGCTGGACATCAAGCTCGCCGTCTTCTTCACTGCCACGGGTAGGGAGGTGGTCTACCCTTGCGAGCGCGACGAGAAATTCAAGAGAAAGTACCCCACCGTGAAGATCGGCTGCTCCAACAACATCGTGGTGCAGCAGGGGCCCTCTGGGAGCGACCGTAGGGCCATCTTCCCCACCCAGGGCCCGATGATGCTCGCTGCTGCTGGCAGTGCGACGGTGGGCGCTGGAAAAGATCTGCAGGCGCCATCCGTGCAAAGTGTGCGTCTCACCGTCAGGAGCAACGAGGTCCTGCAAGAGGAGGCTGAAAAGCTGAAGGAGGCGAAGGGGAAGAAGGCGAAAAGGGGGCTGAAGTCTGGGGGCACGGCCGAGCTGCTGGCCGTGGACGGCGAAGACTCCGACGAGGACCAGGAGGCTTTGTCGGCCTTGGAGGCTGCCCGCGGAAGCGACGGGACGCCTGCCAAGTGGCCTCGCGCGTCGCCATCGCCGACTGCGTCGAGGGCAGGTTCGAGGGCAAGCTGTGCGCGATCGGTGGCGCCGAACCCCCGCAAGTGCGGCACCGCCGCCTACTGGATGCACGAGCTTGACATTGACAAGGCCCTGGATGGATCGAAGCTTGGACAGCCCTTGAATCAGGCATCGCTCCTCATGCCCAAGCTCGACGTGACCGAGCGCGGCCTGCTGACGAAGAGGATGGACCTCGTGAGAGACGCCGTGACGATGAACTGCGACAACTGCCACAACTTGAAGGATGCGGAGCTCATCGGAAAGGCAAACGAGCTGGCGAAGTCAGGGGCGAAGCCGACTTTGAAGTTGTGGGTTGCTCTCGCAAAGCGGTACACGAACAACACGTTCGAGAAGGTCGAGAAGATGACCGAGAAGTCTGAGATCAAGGCTGAGCTCAAGGACTACCTGCAACACATCTGCATGTGGAACGGCTCTTCGAAGAGGGTGCTGGACGACGGCTGCACCACTAAGCCGCCGTTGCGTCTCACAGGCTTGGTCGACCAGCAGCTGGCCCAGGTATCCTTCTCATCTAATCGATGCTTGAGCCACGCGTGGCTTTTAGATTCACGCTACCCCCCTCCCTCCTCAGCGGAGGGAGGGGTGCATCAGGGGGTGGCGAGGGGAGGTACGGGGGAATTGGCGATACGGGCTTCTGGAGGGGAAGGGCGGAGTGCGAACGATGATGAGGTTGGAGGTCTGATAGGGGAGGATGGGGGAGGGATGTATGTCAACTAGGGGAGCCTGGAGGATAGTCGGTGAGGCGTTCGATGTCAGGCAGTGCTTGCCCTCCCCCCAACTTCCGCCCCTCCCCCGCTTTCCGCATAGTAGTTGCATGCTCTTCCTCGCCAGGTGTTTCGCGACTGCGCCATGAAGTCGATGCTGTTGAAGATGGTGTGCGATGGCGAGAAGTCCGCACTCCGCGTTTCAGCGTTCATCGAGGCGGCTACTGCGGTGTGGGAGGACCTACCCGAGGATGCTGGCCTCGGAGACCGCTGCGCACTGGAGTTCACCAACTGCAGTACGATCTTCACCTTGTTGGCGTTGCTCCAGTCGGATTCGACGTTCGACGTCATCGTCGCGGACAGCGATGCCATCGAGCTGTTGCAGACTTTGCACGTCAAGGCTTCGGAGCTGCATCTCGACCAGTGCTCCGTCGCGCTGACGGCGGCGGCCGTGACCACATGCAAGTATTGGAACGATAGGATCGAGGCCAAGTCCAAGTTGGCAGATCGGATGGGCAAGTTCGCGAACGAAATGAAGATCCACTACCTGGCCGTTCGCAAGACGGATCCTGATGGCACTTCGTCTGCAGCGGTGACATTGTCAGGTGCGGCCCGTCAACTCGGCGTCTGGGAGGCGACCTTGGGGGCAGGGAGCGTTGACGACCTCAAGGCCGAGGTCGTCAGTCAGTCCCAGCAGACCGCGACGGCGCTGATGGCCATGATCCGCGGCGGGGCTGCCGTGCCAGACATGGCCGACCGCCTGGCGGCGCACAAGACACTCTTCAAGGAATTGGACGAGCTGGACCCGATGAACGATTTGCTGACCCGCCTCAGCTCTGATATGAACAGGGCGCAGTCCCAGATGGACATGTCGGCGAAGCACGCCATCCTCGACAAGTGCATTGCTGAATGGGACTTCTCTGAGGCGGCGGCGACGTCCTTGAAGGATGCGGTCGCGGCTTGCGACGGCAGGAGGTTGCCCGAGACAACGGCGGCGGCGGCTTGTGATCGGTGCTTGGGGATCGTGGAGCGCTTTAACAAGTCGATGGAGACAGAATCAGCCTCGGAGTTTGAGTTGTTAGGTGTGCACGTGGCAGGTGCATTCGAGACCCTTGCGAAGCTCACTGCACCTGAGCATGAAGAGAAACTTACCAAGGTTGCTCCTCTTCTCCAGTACGCTACCGCGACGCTGAAGCAGATCAACATCTTGCGTTCCGCCCAGCCAGCAGATGGGAACCCCGAGGACACCGACAAGACGCAGCACATCGAGTCGGGCATGGACGCAGCGGTGCGCATGAGGACGCGCTGCAGCTCAGCGTACGCGGCCTGCAATGCCTTCATCAACGAGTTTCCCATCATCAAGGTTAAGGTGCCGCTCCTGTTGGAGTTTTCGGCTGGGGTCATCGCCCAGAGCGGCGTCCAGGCCCGCGACGTCATCAAGACGAAGATTACCGATGCGATTTCGTCTCTTGGGGAAGCCATTGATAAGATGATGCCGCTCAAGCAGTGGGAGGAGAAGACGGTCGGCCTCAAGACCATCGATGAACTCGTGGACCTCTACGAGAGGACGCTGAAGGATGTCGACACCCAGGGGCTCGAGGAGAAGGCTGATGCCATCGGTGACCTGCTCGAGCAGTTCAAGAGCACGACGGCCAAGTACAGCTTGGACACGGACACCGAGGTCGTCGAGAGCACCGGCGATGCGATGATCAAGACCCGCGCGATTCGCGCCACGGATGCGGTCATGAGCTTCCTCAGCACCCCGAGCGTCATGAAGGACAAGGTGGCCATGCAGCGGAAGGCCATGGCCATCGCGGAGAAGCTCAAGCGGTGGAAGATGGATCCGAAAGAGATGAACGACGTGATTGTGGCTCGCTACAAGCTGGCCCTGAAGTACAAGTGAGGCGAGGCGCCCAGCTTGGGCGCGATGGAGGCCGAGCCCGCCCGCTTCGAGGAGGCACTGGCTAAACCATCGTCGTGGCCGTCTTTCCGTCGTTCCCCCTCTCCCGTCGGCGTCGTCGGAGTTGGCGATCGTCGTCGTCGTCGCACCCGCCGCTGCCGCCGTCGACGCCGTCATCGTCGTCGCCGCCGCCGCCAAGATCGCCCCCAGGGCTGGGGCAAAGACGACGAGCGCGAGTACCGCGAGGTCGGTCGGTCGTCGTCGTCGTCGGCGGCGGCGTCGTCGTCTTCGTCCTCGCGGTGCTCGCGCTCGTCGTCTTTGGCCCCAGCCCTGGGGGCGACCTTGGCGGCGACGGCGACGACGATGACGGCGTCGACGGCGGCAGCGGCGGGTGCGACGACGACGACGACGACGGCGGCAACGGCGACGACGACGACCGACGACGACCGACGACGGCGCTCGACGACGACTGACGACGACCGACGACGATCGACGACGACGAGCGACGACGACGACGACGACTGACGACGACCGACGACGACGAGCGACGACCACGAGCGACCGACGACGACTTTCGACGACGAGCGACGACGACGAGCGACGACGAGGACGGCGGTAAGGATGATGAGGACGATGAGGAGGATGGCGGAGGATGGCGGCAAGGATGATGAGGACGATGAGGGCGATGAGGAGGATGGCGGAAAGGATGATGAGGACGATGCGGAGGAGGCGGAGGAGGATGGCGGCAAGGATGATGAGGGCGATGAGGGCGATGAGGATGTAGATGAGGAGGAGGAGGATGGCGGTAAGGATGATGAGGACGATGAGGAGGAGGTCTCATCATTAGAACGGCATGTTCATCATCTCCATTCTCTTCTTCCTCATCTTCCTCCTCGCTTCTCTCGTCCTCACTCGTCGTTCCTTTCGTTTGCCCCTTGGTTACCTGTCCTCCCTCCTCCCATTTCCCTCTTCTCGCCTCCGACCCCCCTCCTCCAACAATTACCAAATAGAATACTATTCTCATGTTTCCCCTGATGACGTCCAGGCGGGTGCATCCACGCTAACTCGCCAGACAGCGCCTGAAACCCAATTGCGCGAGTCAGCGCGTCCGACCTACCTCGGCCGCCTGACATGAAATCAAGTTTGCCCCAGTGGGGCAGCCAGACGGCGCGCCCAACCAACCGCGACCAGACAGTGCATGCAGCGTGACTGCGCGAGCCATCTCGTCCAACCCAATGCGGCTCGCTAGCAAGCAATATGCATCGACCGCGTCACGCAACCATGCGCGGCATCAAACCGAGCGCGGGCAGGTATCGCATGCAACGCAATTGTACCCGAAACTGGCGCGCTTTCATATTCGAAATATGACGGGCCATATGTCTTGGCAGAACGCAGCCCGACGGTGCATCCAACTTCGCGTTGCCAGACAGCGCGTTCAACTTAACTCGAACAGCCAGTGGAACCGACACTTGTCGGGCCCAGGGGCTTCCACGAGGCGGCGCGGGCAGCAACGCGGCACGACATCGGCCAACCAGCACGGCGCCCGCGAGGCGGCGCATGCGGCAAGTTGCCGCAACTTCCGAAGAGCTTCTTACGTACGTGGCACGTCTGTGAAAACCTCTGAGTGCAATACACGTCAAGGGATTACCTTGTTTTCGACCTTTCTGGGACCTCTTAACATCAAGTATCAAAAACAAACCAAAAACCTTTGCTGGACCTCTTTTCGCCATATCCATGATCTACAGAGTGTGGCGGGTCTCGCCCAACACGGTGTTAGATCGATGGTGCGATCGATTGTTCAAGACTTCGGTTCTTCCGCCCCCAATTTTTTCTTATCAACCCAAGGGTATGTCGATAACACTATTGATTTCAATATCCATCTTCCTATCGATCTCACTAGATCGGTCTCCCTGGACCTATCGGTCTGACTATCTCTCGATCTCATGGTCGACCTCTCTACTCATCTGATTATCGATATCATTATCGATTTGGCAGTCGATCTCACCATCGATCTCACTATCGATCTCACTACCGATCTCACTATCGATCTCACACAATCGAGCTCACAATCGATCTCACTATCGACCTCGACGGAGCACCACGGAGCACCACTGGACTCCGGCGGGACACCCCCGGGTCACCGCCGGCCAACCAGGGAGATCAGAGACATTGAGCCCGGTTCTCCCCAGCCAGGTCGGGATCATTCGTCTCGCCCGCCATGTAGCCTCGCTTCACCCGTACGCACGACAGGAAACCCAAACCGATTTCCCATTGGGGGGCCCTCCTTTACACTGCGATCTCAGCCCCCAATTTCCGATCTATATATATATATACACATATATACACTGTATACGCAATTTTTCGTGAGGTATGTGGTGTGGGCTGTGCGGTGTTAGCTATTTGGTGTAATTCATGTTGTGTCAGCTAAGTGGTGTGTCAGCTACGTGATGTGAGCAATGTTGTGCAAGGTATGTGGTGTGAGTTGTGGCGTCAAAGCCATCCGACGCAAGCCAAGTGGTATCAGCTACGCGGTGCAAGCGATGGGATGGCATGTACTTTATGTAGACTATGTGGTCTGAGCTATGTTGTGTGAGCTATGCGGCGCAAGGTATGTGCTGTAGACTACACTGTGCCGCCTCTGTGGGGTGTCAGCTTTGTTGTGTATTAGTCTACGTGCTGCAAGGTATGCTGCGTAAGCTATGAAGTGAGAGCTATGATGGTGCTAGCGAGGTGGTTTGAGCTACGTGGTCAAGGCTATGCTTTGTAAACAACGCGGCGTGAGCTGCGCGGTGCTGCCCATGTGGTGCAAGCTCGACGGTGCAAGCTCTGCGGTGTGAGCTGTGGCGTGTGAACTGTGCGGTGTGAGGAGCTCTGCTGCGGCCCCGAGCGGGCACGGGCGGGAATGCGACGACGCTCGGGGACGCGCACCGGGCGCCCACGAGGCGCCCACGAGGCGCCCACGAGCGGCATCGCTGCGAGACCTCGGGGAACCCGGTAACCCGCGGCGCGCGCGGTGGCAACGAGCGGGCACAGGGCGGCCTCAGGCGGGCAACGGGGCGGGGCCCTGTGGAAGCCCACACAGCGCGCGGGAGCGCGCCCACGAGGCGCCCACGAGCGGCAGCGCAACGGGACCTCGGGGAATTTGCCCAGCGCACCGGAGGCCCCCACGAGCGGGCCCCGTCGGGAGCAGGGCGCAATCTCAGGAAGCCGACCTGGCGTACGAGGCGCCCACGAGCGGGCGCGTGCGGGAACGTGGCGAAGCACCCCACCGAAAACCCATCCAACTACTTAAAGAACGGACAAGGGACCCCCCCAAGTGGAAGTATCGCTTGGGGCACGAAACAACGCTTCCCAATCGAACAGTCAGCGCGCGCACCCATCATCATCGTCGCCGTAGATGCAGCCATGGAACTGCATTAGACTGGGTCTCGCCAACTGAGTATTGCCAACAGGTTGCGGGTGGAAAGGTGGGGTGTTTTGCAGCAGGATGCGAGTTGGCGACTGCAAGTTCGTCAAAACCATTGCACTGCCAAGATTGCGCCACATAGATTGCATATGATATCTGGTACCATAAAGATGGCAGCACGTCGGCTGCAGCGCACACAGGTTGCACCACAGAGACTGCACATCGAGAGCGCGAGAACCGAATGCTCTGGGCCAACATTGGCAAACAGTTGTGTATGTTTTTTTTCCCGGGCTGCGTAGGGGAGAAGGAGGAGGAGGCGGAGGAGGAGGAGGATGATAATAATAATAGGACAAATATTAATAATGATAGCACGAGGAATAAGACGAAGAAGAAGAAGAAGGAGGAGGAGGAGGAGGAGGGGAGGGAGGGAGAGGGAGGTTAGGCCTGGTCCAGCTTTCGCAGCCCAATGCTACCGAGGCGTGGTCCAGTCCAGACTCAAGAGCCCCAACCGCAAGTCCTTCATCCTCCCTCCTCCTCCTCCTCCTCCTCCTCCTCCTCATCCTCCTCGTCCTCCTTTTTCTCCTCCTCTTCCTCTTCCTCTTCTTCCCCCCTTCTGCTCGCAATCAGCGTATTCTTATCCCGCTGATGCGGGCGGCAGCGATCGCCCCGTTGGCTCATTTGGTCCAGGATGCCCCCGTCTATCCCCGGGTCTGACGGCCCCGTGGTCAGAACGGGGTGGCGGCAACGCGGAGAAAGAGGATGTTATGGCGGACGGCGAGAAGTGGGCTGGGTGGAGGGTGAGGCAGGGCGAAGGGAATTTGCGGATGCGACGTTGTGACGGGGAGCCAAGACGGAGCAGTAGTTTTTCTCTCCAGTGCGAGAGTCGCCCGTTTGTGTAGTTTGGCATCGCTCGGACGCGTGCATTTCTCGGCTTGGACCATCGAGGAGCATCTTGGATCATCTGCTAGCGAAGAGATGCACGAACGATACCGTCAAATGCCAGAGAAGAGATGCACGAACGATACCGTCAAATGCTAGAGGCATGCACGTCCGAGCGATGGCAAGTTCGTATCACACATGGTTACATATTTCCCTCTGCCCAACAGGTGGGATCTGTCACGGTAGGTTTGACAGAATAACTTCTGTCCTGCCTCGACCACCTAGCATACAGCGACAGCGACCGTTGGGCCCCGATGGTCCAGTTGGTTTGGGCGGTCCTTGTGAAGCTCCCGGCTCGCCGAGCCTCACCAGGGAAGCGTCAGTGTGTCACGCCTCACCTCGCCCAGCCCGCATGCCGCGGCCGGCAGGCCCCCAGAGTCCTGGGTGATCCCTGGAGATCCCGTCTTGCGAGCCCACACCAGAGATGCGTTACGCCGTCCAGGCGTCACGTCGTCATGCCGTCCACGGTCCACGGGCATCCGGGGCAGACCTTCAGGGCATATATCCAATACACACACACCAATACCCCGCATCAAGAACACACATCGAGACCATACAGCGGCCACACAGGTCAATGCCTCACATAGAAAACATACCTCGACTACCGTCGGTCAGAGCACGCACCTTCAACACAGAACAATATCCACCAGCAACGTAC